AAAGCTTGCTTCAAAAGAGTTTAAAATGGCAGAAATCTAGGAGCCCTTCTTCCAAATATTTATAGAAAATTAAACATTTAAGTCATCTTTAAAAACATGTTATTTAAAAACATGTCTAATTTATATGTGAATTTATTATGAAGCTTTCAGTATCTGTTTTTGTTTTAATAGTAAATTAACTTGCTCTTTTAAATAAACTTAAAAATGATAAAAAAAATAGCATACTTAGCATTTACTTTCATCTTGTAAAGGATTAATTTCTCAGCATTAAATGAGGAGGGGGTATTTACCAAGCATTTCTGAGTTTTAAGGGTATATTGCAAAAAATACAATGAAGGTTACAGATCTACAATATGGTTTGGTCTGGGAGTGGTAGTATGGCAGGAAGTTGAAACAAGTAGGATGTAAATTGTGATATAGTAAATTGGATTTTCACAGTAATAAGAATTCTATTAATTAATACTAAAGGCATGCAAAATAAGGGAGTGGTCAGGGTAAGGTGGGGCTAATCAGGGAACATTAGGGACTTTTAGCCAGGGGGCCTGATTGTCCAGGAGTCAAAGTGCTAAGGTTAACACCCACCCATCTACTGAATCCCCTCACACACACCAGCATCCTGTCCAAGAAGGAAAGGGCTCATTATGTAAGTTAATGAAAATTTTAAAGTCCCTAGTGACCTCCTAGTCCACTCCTGAATTAACTCTGTACTAAATATGTTCTTCAGAAAGAGGCACACCCATTTCCTAATTATGAAACCCAATACCAATAGGCTTTGACTGTGAATGAAAGAGCCCTGTTTATATTCAGTTTACAGCACACCACAAGCCTGATTTTAATGTACTACATCAAATTCTATGGCCTGTTACAGCTACCCCCAAAACCTACACACAGGAGTGCAGGTCTGATGTGTTTCTTCTGTTTTAGATTCCTCCCTTGGATATTTCCATGAGAGGCACTTTGGACAGCTCTGTTATGGCTGTATATTTATTTAGCAGCCTAGGGGCATCAATGAGTTTACCTCTGTGGAAGATTAAGTGGTTTTTGTCTCTACCACACACCAAGATAAAGGATGAATTCAAGCGCTGAGTTCTGCTGCATTCACTGCTCTGTCATTATAAAACAGTCTGATTGGTAAATGTAAGATGGGCAATTTAGAAGCCTGTTTTCATCACTCATCTGGTCATAAGGGATGCCTCATTAGTGTGGGGGATGAACAGACCTCAGATATGGTCTAAATGCTGACTCTTATATGGATTCAAAATAAGGAGCAATAGTCTTGAGTGAAATTGGGAATGACTGAGTAGAATCCTTTAAGTTTTAATAATTCAATTTATTTTTTGCTGTTGCTTCCAATTCCAACCTAACATCCAGGGATGGAGGAAGACTTAGCAAAGTCTTCTCTTCTAATATTTTGAAGATGAAAAAATTTAAAATTTTTAAGCACGTGTGCACAATATAGATTCAGCTAAGTTACTTACCTGTATGATTCCCTGTTGCCCTTTTCTACCTGCACATCAACTCTTACAGGCTCCTTTTATTCCTCTCATGATTTTTTTTATGCTTTCATCTCTGCCCTTCTACTAGAATCAACCTTTCCTTATGTATCTCTTTCTGTTTGGAGCTTGCTCAGCAGCCACTAGCTGGTAGGATGGTTCAGCTAACAGCTATACCACTGGGCCAGGTTTCATTCCATTTATTGCAAAGTGTTTTGTAAGCTCTTAAGAGCAAGAATTTAATTTCTTTTCCAAAAAGAGCTCATTTTTCCTTCATTTATTAAGTAAAATATATTTAGAGTATCCATTATCATCATTAATATTTCACTGTACTTTGGGGTCATTAGATAGAGTGGCTGGACAGTAATAGCAGACATTTGAGGTTTGCAGAATATGGTAGATACATGATCTTATTTGATCCTCACAATGGTCTGTGAGGTAGGTTATAGATAAGGAAACTGAGGCTCAGAAAGATGATGTGATCTGTCCAATGTCACATAGCTAGTAAGGGTCTGAGGGACCATTTGAACTCAGCTCTTCTTGTCTTAAATACACAACTCGCAGTGCTCTGCTTCCTCCACAAACTTAATAGACAATTCTATAACATCTCAAAAGAATCAATGAAAATTCCAAAACAAGGTCATCTACCAGCTAGGGGGAAGCCTGGGTCAACAAAAGTTTTTTGCATTGTCTACAGAATCTAAAACTACTCATTGTTTCTTTAAGTACTATGCCATAAATCCATTTAAGTGAAGAGTCTGGGCACCCAAGCATATATTTGTGCTTGCTTCTGACCCAGAAATTGGTTAGCTTTCTACCCAAATGACTTGTATAGCATTCTGTTTAACATTTTGGCTTCCAGGAAGGCAGAGAGGCCACTTTCTGTTTAATTTTGTCTTACCTCACAAGGTGGTTTTAAGGACTTCAGATGCTGTTGCAGGTATATTTTAAGAGTTTTGTACAACTGGGGAGGAAAAGCTTTATGGGAATTTAAAATTATGATGTGGCTTCAAAAACATTGGCCCTCTCAGGCCAAAAGAAGACATGATAGTTTCTCCTTGGTTGCCTATGATGAAAAAGGAAAAGCCCAGCATCCAATTATATCATGACAGCTTATCTATTTCCCAAAGGGTTAAACAAACAAAAGAAGTTTCTTTGGCTCACATGCCTGTCTTCTTCTAAACCATCACATATTTAGTGGCTAAAATATTTCTTTCATAAGAGGGGTCAGCATGAAAGAGTCAAAAGTAGAACACCAATTCTTAGAAATTCAGAAGTGGAATCAAACTCCAAGGGTGAGTGAGAAGCTGGTTGGTGATAATATTGGAAAAGTTATCTAAATTAGGAAAGGACTCTACTATCCTATTACAAGTAACCTCAAATCATTAAGTATTAGAAAAAATGCAAATTAAAACAACTCCAATCATCTATATCACACTGATCTTGTTGGCAAAGATGACAAAAAAGGAAAATTTTAATTGGGAGAAGCTATGTAAGAACAGGAACATTAATGTATTGTAGGAAGACTTGAAAATTGGTCCAGCCATTCAGGACAGTTTTTGTGACTATGCTCTAATATTTATTAAACTGTGCATAGTCTTTGACCTGATGATAGTACTACCAGGTCTATACCCAAAAAGGTAGAAGAAATAGAGTGGGGGAAATTTTTTCTATTGTTTAGAAACTAAAACAATTCCATAAAAATGCTTTGCAAATGTAATGTTTCATCCAAGGATAAATGTAATATTTCATCCAAGGATAAATAATGACAATGGTCCTAATCCTATGTAGGCCACATACCCTGCTTTTTGGAGATAGTTACTTATCCTGAACCCCCTCACACCTATACCCCTACTCTTCCTGTACCTGAGCAACACTTAGAACACTTCCTCTCATTTACTATAGATGAGCTGGAGATTCCCTTGCAACACTGGAAACATGAATTTAACTCCATGAGGTGGAGTTATTCTCTTAGAGAAGGGAATTGACCTTCTCCCTTCCAGGGTTTAAAAAATAACTTTTCAGTTACTAAAAACATCAACAAAAAAGTGTTAGATGTGGATTTAAGAGGTTTTGATCCATTTACTCCAAATTTCTTTCCATACTTGATTTGTATGTTAAAATTGTTGTGAAAATCAAATGATGTGATATATATATATATATATATATATATATATATATATACATATTCTTTCACATATAATGTTCTATGGATTGTTGAGCAGGTGGATAGAATAATTGCTATTGGCAATTTATTGAAAGTATTGGGATGAAAGTGCATCCTCTATAGATTCATTGAAAACATCTTCAAAACAACTCCAAGGACAGACAGGCCAACAGGCACCTCTACCCCATGACTGTCTCACTCTGAGTTTTCACTCTTCCCCAGGTATGTTTTCACTTTGAAAAATCACTCCCCTCTTGTGGTCCCTTCCTATGACTGATGAGTTCCACCCAGAACCTCTATTTTAAGTAACTTTCCCAGGTCAGTGATGTTCGCTCCTTCATCCCTTTCCAAACTCTATTCCTGATTCTCTGGACTTCTTTCTCCACCATGCCTCCACACAAATACTTTCTTCCTCCCCCTGCCCTTTTCAACTTCCTTTTGTGTGTTGTCTTCCCTCATTAGACTATAAGCTCCTTGAAGTCAAGAACTGTCTTTCTTTTTGCTTATATTGGTATTTCCAGTGCTTAGCTGCCACATAGTAAGCTCTTACTAAATGCTCGTTGACTTTATATGTAGTTATCTTGTACTCATATACTTTAGATTTCTTTAACCAGGTCTCTATAGTTTGAAAGCTTTTCATTCCACATGGTTTGGTGATTATTACCCTGTGATATGGTTATATCTATTAAAAAATATTGTTCTGCAATTTTTATATATTAATGTTGCGGACAGGTTTTGTCTGGTAATACTCTAGTGTGTCAGATTGTTGCCTGAATTCTTAATGATATACTAAGGCCTATATTTGTTGTATCGGGATGTCCTCTGTTAATTTATGAAACGTGATGAGTTTCTGATGCATCCTTCTAATTACTTGAATCAAATTGTGTTTTTCTAGATATTTCATAATGCTAAATTTTTTGCAGCTTCTTTAGATGTGTTGCAAAGTTTCTACCATTTCCCTGAATAATTTGAATTGCTCATTAAGTACAGGCTTCTTAAGAACAACCTTTCTGTAACTGCTGATAACAATGACCTGTTCCTGAGATATTGCAATCACCTCTTTTTTCACAAACAAATTCATATGATTCAGTCATTTGTTTAATTATTTTTTGTCTATGTGTTCTGCTTGAATTTGTGTGGCTGCCCACAGAGTGCCACATTGATTTTGGCTATGATGTCAAGTGAGTCTTATTAATGAACTGATTCCTGTCCTGTACAACTAATATAAGAGAATTTCCATGAAATGAACAATGTTTTCTTAGGATCATAAACTCAGAACTAGAAGGAACTTTAGAGGTGATCTAGTCAATACCCTTACTTTAAGAATGAAGAATGTAGAGTCCAGAGAGATTAAGTATATTTTACAAGGTCATACAATCAATACAGTAAATTTTTGGGGTGAGGAAAGTGATGCCCAAATGTGGTACATTCATTTAAAGTGCAACTCTATTTTTTAAATGAATACACTTTCTATAGTAGAAGAGGCAGAAGGAAAAGGATATATTATGCAGGCTAATGTAGTTGTTCAATGACTATTTGGAAACATTCTTACAAAGTATCTTAAAGGAAAGTTATTAGACATGACTGCAATTTCAAGGAGTCACATTGGCACTAGTCTCATGTTTTGATAAGATTAGAAGTTTCCTGCATTTTATAAAATTTTATGTGACTAAGAGAAAATCTCTTCTTTTTAATGTACTGACTTTGATCTGCATGTAAAAAAAAAAATCCCATTGGACCAGATTCTAATGTAATTCCACCAAAAAAAATTCCCATTGAGGCCAAATGAATTCCAGTCTAACTCTAAAGCAATTAAAGCTTATCAAAGGAATTATCCTATAGAGTTATTCTGGGAGTGAACGAGGCCCAATGGAACTAATGCAGGCAGATCAGGGCCTTCGTGGCATCTCTAGGAATTTTTTTCTTGAGTTTTGTTCAATAGCTAAAGCTCTACAGGGTTCCAGTGTCGGGCTTGTGTGTTGAAAGAACTCAGCTTGAAGAGATTCATTCCATCTTCAGCAACAGAAATACAATCGCCTCATTTCCAAATGAGCAATCACATACAAAGTAAGAGAGTTAAAGCAGATTTTTAAAAATCCTTATAATGTAAGCTTAGGCCTAGGTCAGAAGAGCTCCAATTTAAAGAGTAATTTCTCTTTTTCTTAAAAAGGTTGGCACTCAAACAATGTTTGAAGGGTCACATCTGATAACCCACTACTTTCCTCAGTCAGTGTAGCCAACTCTGACTGTGTGTACTAAGTAACACAGGAAACTACTATAAACAAAGGAAGAGAACATGGGAAAAGGAAATAACGCTCTCTGTGTGTATATTTTTAAGGGTGACATTACATCACTTTCCCTGTCACACCTCATATTTTTCACAATATGGTACAATTCAAGAGATGTATTTTATTTATATGTTTATATAGAATAAATAGCTTTCACATTCCATCATAAGGTCAATATTTGCTGTCCTAATATTACAACTACCCATAAAGTGGTATAAAATGGAGAAAGGGGAGAGAAATACACATTTTCTAGTCTTCTACAGATGCACATGGTGATTTGCAGGAGTAAGAAATATTTACAATTTAAATAATAATAGTTTGAGTAACAAGTCCTAACTAATAACTCAATGGTAATTTTTTTTTCATTCCCAGAATACAGTATAAGGCTCTTTCATCATGCATGATCTGAGAAACATATGGTTTACAGAACATCATTTTTTATGACTTGTTCAATAAAGAGATAGTCAAACTTATTTTTGTACTGTTAAAACAAAATGAATGTCCCATGAAATAAAAGATAAAGTTCTCAGGGATAACTTGGAGGCCGTTTAGTAATAAACCAGTCCGTATTAATCATTAGCAAAATTATCACTACCTTTTTCCTAGAAGAGAAATAAAATTACAGACATCATTAAGAAAACTCCTGATGAAATAAAAATTGTCTCCTATATATTTTTGTTTCAAGTAATATTTTTTTTTCAATTCAGAGACCAAGTCTAGGCTCTAATAAGCAAACAAAAATCACATCAGATATTTAATTTCAACAAAAATAATATTACTAATACAGGAGAAACCCAAGATTGAATGAGTTTCCCTTTCAAATACAGTAATACCTCAGTTAACAAGTGAACTTGAAGAAGTTCCATTATAATGAATGCTAAACACACTTTTAAGATAAAAATCTTCGTAAATCATGAAAAGCAAAATTGTCTATATTAACAACTACAAGACAAAAATACCTCAGTGCATGCAAAGCATTTGTCATGTTCTTTTTAAGATAAGCATGGCACATCTTAGGTAAAATTGTTAGTTTCTTTTTAGAATGTTAGTGCCCCCGTGTTTTTTTTTCCCCTGAGTTGGTCCTTTCACAACTTCAGGCATTTAATGCCATCCTGCTTACTTTACCCTCACATTGCATGAAAAGTGGGAAGGGTTTGATATTTAAATTTTTCAGCTGACTTACACCTTAAGTAAAATTACAAGCCAGAAAAATATTTTGACAAGATATTTGATTTTTTAAGAATTTCTGGCATTATCAAAAAGGGTGGGAGAAAATGTCAGAGGGGAGAGAGCATACCTGAACTCGCACTAGGTTTATTTGACTGTCATGAAAGTAAACCTGTATTAATTCTTTTAAGAAGATTTTTGTGTTTGGAGTAGGGCGAAAAGAATGGTGGGAAGGGCTGGCAGAAGGTATAATCCATAACCTCCTATCCCCACCCCTGCAAATTTGTCTCAGTTGAATGTAAGCTCTTTTGAAAGCAATTTTCATTTTACCTTTGTATTCCCAGAGCATAGCACAATCTTTTGCACACTATAGATGATTAAGAAGTATTTGTTACATTGTTAAATTAGCTCAAGACTGGGAGCTGCTGTGAGTGAAGAGCTGTTTCCCTTTATCATTATCTTCTTCCAGAAAATGAAAACTGCTTTGCTTGGACACTGGTTTGCTGGAAAGCTCCCTCTTTCCAGACCCTCTTCCTACTCCTGACTGGACACAGCTCAACCCCCTTACTTTCCAAGACACACACACGAACACGTACATGCAAACACACACACACACACACACACACACACCCCACCCCACACCACACTATACCACTTTCCTACCCAATCCTCAGTTTTAAGAGTTTCAGATACATATTTTATTACTTCTGGAATATTTACCTTCATCTTATTGATCTTCTTATTTGCATCATAATCCCTCTTGTGTCACATCCTAAAATGTATCACTTTTTTTTTAACTAAATCTATAATTTTATTAACATAGAGAGTTCTAGGTGAGGTGCTGCTTCTACTAGTACAGGTTATCACCTTCTCTACAACTTAAAGTCTTAAGGAGTGCCTGCCGCACTCTTTGTCAGTCAACAGACATTTATGCAGTACATACTATGTGTCAGGCATTGTGCTAAGTGCTGGGAACTTAAAGAGAGGCAAAAAAAAACTATCCTTGCTCTGAAGAAGCTCATAGTCTAAAGGGATGATGGGTGGGGATAATATGCAGACAACTATGTACAAAGTCTATGTTAGATAAATTGAGAGTAATTTCAGAGGGTAGGTATTAAAATTAAGGAGGACTGAGAAAGGCCTCCTGGAGAAGGTGATACTTTAGCTGAGATTTGAAGGAGGCCAAGTCAGCTAGGAGGTAGAGGCTGGTGTCATTGGATAGCAGAGTACATAGAGGGGAGTAATGTAGAAGAAGACCGGGAATATAGGAATGGGCCACAAAGTGAATATGTATCAAAAATATGAATTGAAATGGTCTTCCTGACTGTTAGGCCAACTCTCTAATTTGATACACCATGCTGCCCATTAAAATGCATTCTTACATCTCTATTAGAATTTCTATCTTTAGTTTTGATATTTAGAACAAAGATTTTGGGGGGGGGATTTATTCCATATGTTACTTCCTATCACTATGCATAAGGGCTAAAAAAATGTTCAATGTCATTTTGTGCCATAAATTCACACCAAAGCAGGATGATGACCCTGCTTTGTTTTACAAATTTTAACTGTTGTTTAGTAAAATTGTAATTTGCTGACTATTTAAAACTGTTGTGCCCTGCCATGTGAGGGTTTTAATATAGTCCATGCAAACTGGAAACATGAGTGTGCTTGTTTTAAAACTGAAACTCATTGAAAGAAATTTCAAGTCCTAGAAACAAAACCATAATAATTGAACAAGTGCCTGTGTTAAATTTCCTCTTTAATTCATGGAAATGAATATATACTTCCAAATAGTATGCCTGATATCACCTGTCAATCTAGAGTACACCTAGAATCTGAGTACTTTTTTTAAAAAATCATTTTCTTTCACATCCTGTCTGGCCTGTCTGTTCTGTTCTATTTATCTGCTGTTCCGTAGAAAATTATATAGCCTCTAGTACCTCAAGTAGATTTGATCTTCTTAAAACATGAGAAATATATACATTGTGTATATTCCATCAGGTTGATAATTACCGAAACATTTTCCATACTCTCTATGTACAAAGTTAAGACTCCCAAGTGTTTGCACTCCACATGAAATATATTTAGATATACTTTTGGTAGAGAGGTATAGAAACAGAGAGAGAAAGCTAGGTAAAATCTTTTTCTATACTATGCTTTTATACCACATTTTGAAGTTGTATGCTCTTCTTGATTGAAACATGTATTTTTTTATCACGAATTACACTGTTCACTGAGTGAGTAGAATTTTCAGTTACAGTCAGGAAATGAAGAATTACCAATGTCGGGTGTTGATTTTTCCCAACTGTCTACAAAACTGATACATGCTACATATTCACATTTACAACAAATCAGAAAAAACTAGCATCATTCATGTTGCACCCAACTATAAAACACTGTAATGCAAATACTTAGAATACTTAGAGAACATTAACAGTAGTGACTTGAGAATATAACATGGTTCTTTTTAACATATAGCCATTTCTAGAATTTCACTGGATTGTGTGGACAGAGCAACTGTCAGAGCTGTCTATCAAGGCGAAATGAGATGAAGGCAGACAATGCGAGCTTTGTGAGTAAACTGAAGCAGCGGCTCCACAGTTTTCATTTCTCATCCAAGGGCACTGTGGGACCATTGTCTCCCCTTCCCTGCAAAAAGAATAGGACAATTATATTATGGAAATTCCTCCACAGCAGGTTTGAAAGTCTGTTTATGTCCAAATAGGAGGATAGTAAAAATGAAAAGTAAAAGTTTCATGACAGCAAAAGATAGAAATTTCAAAAAATACTTGTTGCTCAGACATTATATCTGTATAATTTCCCCATCCAATCCAACAGAAATGTATTTACATGGAAGATGATTCATTGGAATTTTTGTGGCTGTCAACCATGGCTTAGAACTTCAACTCTAGACTCACAAGGACCTGACTTAATACAAAAGACTCTTCAATAATACCTCAGTAAGGGCTCAGTCCCTGAAAACATTTGAACTTAATTTGTTTCTAGTTCTCCACTGGAGGCAGGGCTCTTCAGTTCCCCTAAAAACATTAGGCTAATAATAAGCATTTAAGCATAGAGTAGATTTATTGTAGGGCATACAAAGAACAGAAAAGAAATTCTGATCCAAGCTTCCAAACTATAATCCATCTTTGTGAGTACCACTTTTTCTTCCCCCCTTCTGCCTAGAGGTTCAGTCATATTTCTCACAAAGCTCACAGTATTGGCAGATAGAATCCCAGAAGCACCGGTCAGAATAAAGACCTTCATTAAGAGCAGTGTATGTACCTCGCTACTCACCTGCTTCCATCAGCAATCTGCTCTCTCCTTTGCTTCTACTTCTGCTACTGTTAGGCCAGCTCCTGGTTAACACCTCTATCTCTCAGCATAATTTCACAGTAATCACAGCCCAAGATCTCCTTGGACTTTGCTTGCCAACTTCTGGCTCTGCTGCTGCTAGCTCCCACCTCTACTGGCCATGCTAGGAGGAAGACCCTTCTATTCCTCTTTCACATTTTCCAGCCTTTTCCCATACCTCTCAGCATTATACAAAACTGCTACCCAAATCTTTATGGCCTTGGTCCTACCTCCAGCGTTATGGGAAATGCCTACCAAAAATCTTTTCACATGTTCACCTACACTGAATTTCAATATCTGACATTATTAGGTTTTAAAAAGATTATATCATAGAATCTAAATCAGGAGGAACTTCAAAGACATTTATCCCCATCCATACCCAAATAGAAATCTCCATGCAACATCACTAACAAATGATCATTTAGCCTCTACTTGAAGTCTCCCAATGATGAGTAATTCACTGCCTCCCAAGTCAGCCCATTCTACTTCTTAACAGCTGTCTTCATTACCTTATATTTCTTTACATAGAGCTAAAAATCTACCTCTGTGACTTTCACCTATTTTTCTGAATTTTTGGCAAGAAAAAAATCTTATTCCTCTTCTACAGATAGCACTTCAAGTATTCAAAGATATGGATTTTCCCGCAATACATGTTCTTATTTCTGGGTGAAATATTTCTAGTTCCAGTCTAGTAAATGTTTATTATTCACCTTCTATGTGCAAGACTGTGCTAACCTCTAGAAATGTGATTAATAAAAAGACAGTTCCTGCCCTGAAGGAGCTTACAGTCTAAAAGAGAGACAGGAAAGGGGTGAGGGATAGGGGAATATAAAGGGCTTCCAGCATGGGAATATCTTGTTCCATGGAGTTGAAACTAGGCAGAACAGCAGATGCAAAGTGGAGTAAGCTAAAAGAATAGCTTCTACCCTCTATAAAGGAAGGAATTAGGATGACTTTGGTACTCTTTTCCTCTGGCCCTCTAATCAGAAGGAAGACGAGGCTGAGGGCAGTGGTACACCAATCAAGGCCTGAGTTAATAGTATGGTAATTAGATTAGAAATGATAAACATATCCTGGAAGTAGGTACCACTTTTCATCATTTGTTAGTGATGTTGCATGGAGATTTCTATTCAGGTATGGATGGGAATAGAGTCTTTGAAGTTCCTCCTGATTTAGAGATTCTATGATATATATATTTTTTAAAACCTAATAATGTCAGATATTGAAATTCAGTGTAGTTAATAGTGTGGTAATTAGATTAGAAATGATAAACATATCCTGGGAGTAGGTACCAGGCAAATACAAAGTGGAGTTCATTCAAATGATCATCACATGGAAGACATTCAAAGCCTCTTACCATCCCAGTTACTATCATCCAGTTTGTCTGCAAGTAAACTTTCTTAAATATGATGCCCCAAAATAAAATATGATATTCCAGAAGGTTTGAGCAGAGCAGAATATCAAGTCTTTCACTTCTGTCATACATTTCTCCTATGACCTTGCAAGGTTACAGTGCATTTGACTGCTACATGACACCATTGGCCTCTACTAAGTTTGCAACACATGAAAAACTTCAGTTCCTTTGTTTTAGTATATTTCCCTCATCTTGTACTTGAATAGATATGTGTGTGTGTGTGTGTGTGTGTGTGTGTGACAGAGAGATTGGATGTGTCAATTGTGTCTGTGTCTTGTGTTTAAACCTGTCTAGGACTTCATTTTTGCTATTTCATTTAACACTTCAAAAATCTATAATTTTATCCCTCCATTGTCGGGGATCACACCTCCCTATGACTTAATAGAAGTCTTCAAGAGCTACTGTAGCCGAAAACTTCATCATCCAGCATCCAGACTGGTGAGTACAGGAGTTATTCTGAATTAGGCTGGTCCTAAGACACCTGATGTACCATTCTTTACTGCGATAATGCTAGAACTTTACATTGATCCTGATTTGAGTGTATTTGCAACCCTAGACTAGAGTGAAATTGACTAACCAAAATAGGGAATGAATCCATGCCTTAAGTTAACCAACCTTGTTGTTTAGACAGAGGAAGTCTGTCTAAAAAATAACAATATATTATAGTTGGCATAGGATATAACAACATTATGAATAATTGATTAAAATTTACTATTTCATTACTAAAAGTAAAAAAAAAATATGAAGCCTTACTATTCCACATCTACCACTTATTTTTTTCCCAAAATGCAATGATTAAAATTTCCAAATGTATCTTTTCAGATTATACAATAAAAGATTTTAAGTTGGGGGGCAGTTAGGTGGTGCAGTGGATAGAGCACCAGCCCTGGAGTCAGGAGGACCTGAGTTCAAATCTGGCCTCAGGCACATAACACTCACTAGCTGTGTGACTCTGGGTAAGTCACTTAACCTCACTTAACTTAATTGCCTCACCAAAAAAAAAAAAAGTTTTTAAGTTAATGTATTTCATTGTCCCTCAAAGGGATCACATAGCCATTTTTCAAACAATCCAATATAATCTCAACAGTAAAAATCAAATAATGTATTATAGTGTAGTAGAAAGAATACTGGATTTGATATCAAAGGAACTTGGTTCAAACCTTCTCAATCCTATATGTAGGACCTTCAGTAAGTCATTTAAATTCTCTGAGCCTCATTTTTCTCACCTGTAAAATAATGAGATTAGACTAGAGAATCTCTAACCTCAGATTTTTTGTGTACAAATTAATATAACTAAATTAACTGTAGTCTGTTCTAACCAGTCAGATGCAATATTATTTAAGTTGTTTTTTAATACCACTTCAATTATTCAGAGGTCACCTATCTGTTAATGATAAGTAAGAAACTGGGAATTAAGCAAAAAGGTTCTAGGGTAACAAAGTCAAAATCAAACCATCAATTAATCAACAAGCATTTATTAAATGTCTACTATGTGCAGGGCACTGGGATCCATGCTTGGGATAGGACAAAAAAGAAACAGTTCCTGTCTTCAAAAAGCTTATGCTAAACAGTGGGAAATAGCATTTATGAATATATATATATGTATATATATATAACATATATACAAAGTAAATGCTAAGTAGTTTCAGGGAGTAGGTACTAGCAACTGGGAAGGGGAGAGTGGAAACAGAAGTAACGCATGAACTTTTAAGGAACCTAGGATTTGTAAAGGGTGGATGTGAAGAAAGAGTGCATTCTAGGCAAGGGAGCCGGTGAAAAGCCATCGCAAAATCATGGAGACAGGAAATGGAATGGTGTGCGTGAGGAACAGTGATAATTGTTTGCCTGGACTATAGGGTGCACAAAGAGGAGTAAGGGGTACATAATAAGGTAACTTCTTTTGTGAAAATATTTCTTAAAAATGGAGCCCTTACAAAGCTATTATTTTGAAATAGGCAGAATTAACAAGACTTGGCAAATGATTGCATATAATTAATGGTGCAAAGTGAGGGAAAGAGATAAGTTGAAGACAACATTGAGTTTGCCAACCTGATTGACTGGAAAAATGGTGGCATCCTCATTAGAAACAGAGAAATTCAGAAAAAGGATGGAACAATCAGTTCCTAGTCCCAGGGATAGGACTAAAAGTGAACATATAGATCTGGGAGTCATCAACATAGATATGATAACTGGCTAAAGCCCAAGATAGTCTACATTTGGGAGATGGTATATTTACTCCCCCTAGCAACTGCTATGCATGCTCCTTCATCGTTACACCTTACCTCATGTTCCTCTTGTGCCATATAGCACAACTGTCTCCCAAATGCTAACCCAGTGTTCAGTAACCAAAATGCTGTCCTGGGGTCTATGACACACAGTTCCCCCCAAACCATCATTGGTACCATCCTCTGAAACACTTAGTATTCTATCCCATCCACAATTGAATTTGCTCATAGGGAAAGTTTTAGCTATATATGGCTCAGCTAAGTAACTAAAATGGATCAATCAATCAGCATTAATTAAGCACTTATTATCCTTTATTTGGTGTTAAAGTGTATGCGCTTGAGTCATAACAGAGCCCCTGGAATCTTTACTGTTTTAGAAAAAAAAAACATTTTGGTTTTCTGGTTTCCCAGCCCACAGCACAATTAACACAGTGAGCTAGAAGATCAGAGAAAGTTATTGCTAGACATGGATGGGCCCAGTGAGAGCAAAAACGAAGTGACAGCTATCAGCCTGATAGAGAAGAAACTGAAAATCAATAAAAAGAAAATCCAGGGTATCAAAGAGGATATCATGTACTATAGGCATCATGGGCCCTCCGCACCTCAAAAGCCCATTGGGGTGTCACTATAATATTGAAAATTTTAATAATTGAATG